CACCAGGGAAGGGGATAAAGTATAAGGGTAGATCACTCTCATCACCAGGGAAGGGGACTTAGTGTAAGGGGAGATCAGTCTCACTACCAGAGGAGGGGACTTAGTGTAAGGGGAGATCAGTCTCACTACCAGGGAAGGGGACTAAGTGTAAGGGGAGATCAGTCTCAACCTCAGTGAAGGGGACTAAGTGTAAGGAGAGATCAGTCTCACTACCAGGGAAGGAGACTAAGTGTAAGGGGATATCAGTCTCACCATCAGGGAAGGAGACTTAGTGGTATGGGAGATCAGTCTCACCCTCAGGGAAGGGGACTTAGTGGTAGGAGAGATCAGTCTCACCATCAGGGAAGGGGACTAAGGGTAAGGGGAGATCAGTCTCACCCTCAGGGAAGGAGACTTAGTGGTAGGAGAGATCAGTCTCACCATCAGGGAAGGGGACTTAGGGTAAGGGGAGATCAGTCTCACCACCAGGGAAGGGGATAAAGTGTAAGGGGAGATCAGTCTCACTACCAGGGAAGGGAACTAAGTGTAAGGGGAGATCAGTCTCACCCTCAGGGAAGGGGACTAAGTGTAAGGAGAGATCAGTCTCACTACCAGGGAAGGGGACTAAGTGTAAGGGGAGATCAGTCTCACCATCAGGGAAGGAGACTTAGTGGTAGGGGAGATCAGTCTCACCACCAGGGAAGGGGATAAAGTGTAAGGGGAGATCAGTCTCACTACCAGGGAAGGGGACTAAGTGTAGGGGGAGATCAGTCTCACCATCAGGGCAGGGGACTAAGTGTAAGAGGAGATCAGTCTCACCATCAGGGATGGAGACTTAGTGGTAGGGGAGATCAGTCTCACCATCAGGGAAGGGGATTTAGGGTAAGGGGAGATTAGTCTCACCACCAGGGAAGGGGACTAAGTGTAAGGGGAGATCAGTCTCTACCTCAGGGAAGGGGACTAAGTGTAAGGAGAGATCAGTCTCACTACCAGGGAAGGGGACTAAGTGGAAGGGGAGATCAGTCTCTACCTCAGGTAAGGGGACTAAGTGTAAGCGGAGATCAGTCTCTACCTCAGGTAAGGGGACTAAGTGTAAGAGTAGATCAGTCTCACCATCCGGGAAGGAGACTTAGTGGAAGGGGAGATCAGTCTCCCCATCAGGGAAGGGGACTTAGTGGTAGGAGAGATCAGTCTCACTCCCAGGGAAGGGGACTAAGGGTAAGAGGAGATCAGTCTCACCACCAGGGAAGGGGACTTAGTGGAAGGAGAGATCAGTCTCGCTACCAGGGAAGGGGACTAAGTGTAGGGGGAGATCAGTCTCACCATCAGGGAAGGGGACTTAGGGTAAGGGGAGATTAGTCTCACCACCAGGGAAGGGGATAAAGTGTAAGGGGAGATCAGTCTCACCATCAGGGAAGGAGACTTAGTGGTAGGGGAGATCAGTCTCACCATCAGGGAAGGGGACTAAGGGTAAGGGGAGATCATTTTACCACCAAGGGAGGGAATTGAGTAGAGACTAGATCTGATGTGACTATCTGTAATCTATAAGCTATATAACAGTGAGGGGACTACCATTTACTGTCTGTGTTAATGTTCCCAGACCACATCAGTATCAAGTTGTCTATACGACCCTGTGAGTGAAGTCTAATATAACAGGAGACAAACTATTTTCAAGTTCAATACATGACAAACAGGCTACCATAATGCACCTAATACCTGTAATGCATAGGTATAACTTAAACTGGAGACTGCCAATTTCAGGGGTTGTGATACTTCAATTGAACCTTTATTGACTATACTAGGGCAATGATAGAAACAGATGATATCCACAGAAATGAAAGAGGAATCTAGTCAACTGGAAAGTTGGAATGGAGATGGAAAGCTATCCATTGACTTAAATTGATTTATGTAAAATGCGGGCTAGCCGTTAAGGCTGTCGGACGGCCACAGTTGAGGCGTTGTTTTGTGTTGTCAGTCAGGTATGACATGAAAAACCAATGGGGCATACAGTTCATTAGCTCACCATTAAGATATCAAACAGAGGGAGGAAATCATCAAATTTGATCTCAATGCATGACATTAAACATATGAATAGTAGGGATTACATCAATCATTACAAACTAAATCTAGCATATATCAAACTGTATGACCATCCGCAACACTTGGTCAGTAAAGGGACATAACCAATGTAACATGTTATTCAAATTCCCATTTATTGGCTTTCACAACAGAGCTTGCACATTACATTCCCATTGGCGTTGATCTGCGACAATCTCCTGTGAGCTGTTTGGTTGACAGGACTAAGCTCAGATTAGAAAACCTCTAACACAGAATTGTTTACTGTGGACAGCTTGGTACCGGGCTGATTACAAACATATTGACACATCAGTACCTCAAGGCTTATGTACTGAAGTCAAAGGACTTAAAACTTCCGGGCGATAACGCAGCATCAAGGTTGTAGTCTCTATACATGCACATGCAAGCATACCTACTTCCACAAACACATAATGGCCATTTACGTAGGCAATTTGAATACAAATATCATTTTGAAAACTTCAATAAGTTGCCTACACAACAATCATGTTAATGGATTTGATAAGACATGGCTAGATATAGTAACAGTGTGAGGAGCACAAGGTCACACACTTTGGGTTTGTTATCACTGTTGGCTTCACAGTTGGAGGGTAGGAAAATGGACACTTGAAATGTTTGGGACAAGATATCTGTCAAATAATCTTGGGTAGGTAGTTTATGAACCAGTCAAGTTATTAAAGTCCACCTAATAACACCTCAACAGTTAAAGTAATATTACCTGGACAGGTAATTAGTCTACTAATCCAGGTAATTACACCTGGACAGGTAGTTTGTATACCAATCCAGGTAATAACACCTAGACAGGTAGTTTGTATACCAATCCAGGTAATAACACATAGACAGGTAGTTTGTATACCAATCCAGTTAATAACACCTAGACAGGTAGTTTGTATACCAATCCAGGTAATAACACCTAGACAGGTAGTTTGTATACCAATCCAGGTAATAACACATAGACAGGAAGTTTGTATACCAATCCAGGAAATTACACCTGGACAGGTAGTTTGTATACCAATCCAGGTAATAACACCTAGACAGGTAGTTTGTATACCAATCCAGGTAATAACACCTAGACAGGTAGTTTGTATACCAATCCAGGTTACAATACCCGAATCAAATGATAAGCAAAATGATGAAATTTAACAGATACCTTTACAAATATAGCACATGTCTAAAGGTAACAGCAGATACATAATGTGTCAACTAAAGGTATTCCAGTAAGTTTGATGTCAGTATCAGGATTGTCTACAGTATAGACACAGTGATATAACAGTATCAGGATTGTCTACATTATAGACACAGTGATATAACAGTATCAGGATTGTCTACAGTATAGACACAGTGATATAACACTTTCTGTACAGGTTACGTGATAGTATCCTAATTCAGTCATTCCAGCAGAGATAACACATCTCCAAAAAATAATTAACTTAAGAATTTCTTTAACATCCTTGGGGAAACATCTCACCTGTATCACCTGTATCACCTGTTCATTTTATAAGATGTATCATCTGTTGTCATGCTTTACAGGTAGTGTATCAAAAACACACCCGAGTCTCTCATCCTAACCTTACATGCTGTGTTAGTTATTGGATCTTTTTGTAAATATACATTTCTCTGATGTCAGACGAGTCACTTTTTACCAAATTTACACAACAGTGTTTTATATCAGAGAATGTCATGGAAAAGGGCACTGAAACCTTCTGTATAATCACACATCAACCCTTTACTGATCAAAACGTAATTATAAGTTATTATGGAACTTCTCAGACCAGCTCTTATACAGAAACATTTTTTGGGAAGTCACAATACACATACGATATTTTCCATATTTTGTCTTTATTAATTCACTCTACATATATTCGTTCCCACATGGCGACTGATAGCTTCATGTCAGCATGCAAGTCGAAAGACATAAATTGTGTGAAAGTTTAAGGTCATGCCCATTTTGGACCAAGTCTGTTTCCCATTGCAATATTGCTATCAAAATTTGCCATATCCATTTTCTCTTTGCTTCTACTGTTACTTTGTGTATATAAGGGAAGCCAACTGTTGGTTCCTATGTTTGTATGATGTCACAATCTAGTCTTTCATTGTTTAGTCGATTGATTGGTATGGCATTAATTATCAGATACAAATAAAAGTTAACAAGTTCATGCATCATATGGATTGTTTAAGAATTTATAGGAAAATCATCTTTCTTTTTTTGCACTGATACCACAACATCAATTTGAATCGCACAATGATTTGGTCAACCTCTGAAAACTGGCTTTTTTGAAAACCAGCCAAAATATATCGTCCACTTTAAATGAATTTGTACTCGTGCATGCCTTAACAGTTCCTTTGATACTATGTACAGGGTATTTGTAGTTATCATAGTAGGAATCCTTGAATTTATCTCATAGCATCTTGAATCCAAAAATCCTTGAATCGCACAATGATTTGGTCAACCTCTGAAAACTGGCTTTTTTGAAAACCAGCCAAAATACAAATTTAATGCTGCATGTGCTATCTGATATATGCCAACAAATCTCTATGCAAGATCGAAGCAGAATGCAGTTAGTATAATGCATAATTTCCACATGACAAAGGAAATCTGCTTGATGTATGTACAATAAAATCAACAGGACAAAGGACTCCAGTAAAACTTATACAATAAGCGATAAAGTTACCATGCAAGATATCATTTTGACAGACTTAATGATTTTGCCATCAACACTGTCATGTCATTTGAATTCTATACAGGAAACTCTGAGAAAAAATCGCTATAAACATCATGGAAAGGTTAATTTCTTTTCATGTGTCGTTGGGATAGGTGGACCAATAGGATGCCATTGATTTCCAGTTAGTAATTTACAGATGGTCTGTTAAATCACTTTGCATTTGTCACAAACACACAACACCCAAAATACAATTCAAACACTCACCGTTTCTTTGTGGGGGAGAAGCTCCTTGCGGATCTTGAAGAAGTTCTTGCCATACTGTCGAAGACCTTTGATGAAACGTTTCTGCAAAGAGGGAGAAATGCAATTAAAGGACTGTCACAGGTGGTCGTTGGTGTACTCAATGTCAACAAACATACAAACATTGATACCACCATTTTGGAATTAAACAGCATGTAAGATGCAGTCATCAAGGTACAATTGGTTTTTATGAGTCCTTTTCTACTGTATTGTTGTTAGCTGTGGGTCCCACTTTATTACATCTCAGCATTTTCAGAAATTGTATTGGAGTCCCGTCAAAGTTCTAGGAGTACAGGACTAAGCCTCATATGTAGATTCATCTCTGTAAATGCATTCAGGTAAACACTGGATAGGAATGTGATGAATAATATATATTTGCTTTGTATAATGTATCCTATGAATTGAGACCTGTACGCGTTATATTTTTAAAATTATTTAAACACACGCTCTGGTTATGGCAATTTGAAAACAAGATTACCTAAATCAATGTTCCAATGAAAATAACCAGTTTGATCTATATTGTACTTTTACTTCATTCAAGGTCTCACCAAACATGATGGGTGAACAATCATGACAATGCTGCTTCTCTCTAAGTCAACGATTAAACAAATATTAAACAAACTTATTGTGAAACTTTGACATATTGTTTGAATTTTACTTTTTGAATAACTTTTTTCAGTATTTCGAAATATGTTCTTTATTAATTTGTTTGTTATATAGAACAATTATATTTATGTTGCATTTGTAATGTCAGCTTTTCAAACAGCACTGACAAGACGTGGGCAGATTTGAGTTCAACATTATGTAGGCCATCCTCGATAATCCAGGGATTACGCTCACCTATACTCACCTACGCTCACCTTCGCTCTCTGCACCCCTGGAATATGTCATAGCAAAACTGAAGGCTCAGTGTGCGCCACGTTGTTGATGAGACAAGAAGACTAGTTAGATCCTTTGATGCACATCAAAAGAATCTTGTGGTTACGTAACGAGTATCGCTCCTTTGTAATCTTCAAAGGACAGGTATCAGCCTAGCGATTGGTCAGATTTGTTTTACCTGAGACCAATAAAATAGCTATCTTCGTGCCTTCAATTTTGCTATGACATATTCCAGGGGTGTAAAGAGCGTAAGTGAGCGTTACCCCTGGAGTGTTGATGATGTATGTAGGCATGGGAGATCCTAGCTAATAGCTTAATTTCTTAATACCTATGAATCACATATTTGATAAATCATATCTATTCCAGTGACATAAATATCCTCTGTTTATAAAACTCAAGATTTATACAGTGTTCTCCGATGAAAATTTTCTTCTGGGGAATTAGACATAAGGATGTAATGAAAATTAATGAGAAAACTTGAAAGTCTTCACCACATCCTTCAGACGACTGATGATCAAAAGGTAATGGAGATGAGTTTTGAGGGGACGCTAATACACCAGGATTACTGACTTATACACAAGACAAACAGTTTTACATTGTTTATCCAATCTTTACCATTTCATACAGACTGCATTGCAAAGCTCTTAGCACATACTAATCCCCCTTTAGTGGTACACTGGATGGGTAGAGCTCTCCTTTGTATGGAGGTACATTAAGTTGACAGTGCTCCCTGTGCTTAGCCTGTGTTTGTACATGATGCGATGATGATCATCATGTTGTCCGTGTTTGCTCTCCTCCTGTACACGAGGAAATGAGTCCCCGATCGTTGAGTAGTGGCATGTTTGTGTCATGGTGATACAAGGCTTGTGATGGCGTGAGCCCTGTTTGTGTCAACTTGGCCAATACATCTGTTACCTAGTGAATGCTTGTTCCTGAACACTTATTGAGGGGGCCAAATATTGACTGCTCGCAGTTATTGATAACATCACCACTGCCGTGTAAATACCCCATGTCTGTCATCGTTACTACATGGTCTCGTATCCACAGTGACCATGGACCAATTGCATGACAACAAGAAGGAAGACTACCCTTTATAATTCAAACTCATGTTTACCAAGGGAGCCAGTTTTCCAAACTCTCCTTACCATAATATGTTAAATATCCATAGAGGTTTTGAACCCTCCCTGACACAAAACATACACATCAATAGAGAGAGGCTCTAAACCCTCCATTCAATAGGATTTAAAGGTTCTAAAGCTCCAGACTGCAGGTCTGAGACACCCACAGACATAGGACACGGAGGTTCTGAACTTTCTCTGCCATATTTGAACAGAGGTTCAGAACCCTCCCTGCCACATAACATTGAGGCTATGAACCCTCCCTGCCACAGGACTTGGAGGCTCTTGGCCCACTTGTATAAAACATCTCAACTCTTGAGATTTCCTCAAGTCTAAGATTTCCCATAGACAATACATTGCTTGAGATTTTCCTTAACTTTGAGATGTTTATACAAGTGGGCCCTGAACCCTTCCTTCCACAGGACATGGAGGCTCTGAACCCTTCCTTCCACAGGACATAGAGGCTCTGAACCCTCCCTTCCACAAGACAGAGCCTTTTAAACTCTCACTGCCACAGTATTCAGAGAAATATCTAGAACTCATTTAAAGCTATCAATACAATTGTCTTGTTGTCTTGCATAAAATACGTTTTCCCTTGTATGGGAGGCAGCATACGGTTTTTGATATCAGCTAGCACTACCTATTGCTAAACCCCATAAAAAACTGTGACATTAGTTCCATGACCTGTACCGTTTTACAAGTTGTGGCTTTCTGTTTGAAGTTGTGCACATGTATATAAGAGATAGTTTAAATTGTTGGTATGTATCAGAACTGTAACTTTACCTACAAGGAAACGCACTGCAGGATGTTTACAAATACACATCTGTCTGTTTTCACACCCATCTCATACTGATTGATCAGCCAGATAAGTGTCAGATAATGGGGTCTCCAGTCCTACAATAAATCTGCCTGTTGATTGGCTGCTCTTTAGTCCTCCACCCTCTCATTGGCTAATCTTCCGTCCTTCTATAAATACCAGGGTTTTGATTGGCCGCTGAGTACTGTGACATTGAAATCACTAGATGGCGCTGTCTACAATTAGCCCTGGAGTTTACATTTGTGTGTTTTGTATGGAGCCTTGAGATTGGGAGTAAGGGTACAGTGTTATACCTGGTGTTACAGAGCTGGATCTCAGGCGAGATAGACCTATCCTGCAGTGTAGACACTACAACATCTGCTGCCTAGCAAAGGGGGCTACAGCATCATTACCACTACACAAACCCTGTTATCTTAACTGGTGGGTATAATTATGAATTACCAGCCTAGCTTCTATCTGAACATACAGGTACTTTCCTATTGGAACCTGTCAGATCTCAATCCCCTAAATGCATTCCAGCTGGTCGTAACAGCCCTCTAATCATAAAACCACCAGATATATAACAGATAAATCATATCTCTTTCTCACAAATCAATAAAGATCCTGTATACAGCTTCTCCTGGTACTGGTGTAGCTCTGCCTTGCCTCAGCCATCAGACAGCATTCATCACAAGCTCCAACTGTAGCTGAGGAGCAATTCGTGCCGAAGCCTGGCTTCTCTTGATGTGCCATTTACATTATAAGCTTCTATGACCCAACATCATTATGAGTTCTTTCACTTTTTATTTGAAAAACTAGGAGAACTTAATTGTGAAATTCATCATGATTTGTCTATGTAGTGAGTGCCAAGCTGAAAGCGACTCCTATTTCTGCCTATACAAGGGAAGTAACTATGCAGACATACAGTGACATATGATCTGACGAAATTACAAGCCTAATAATATAAGCAGACTCATAAACAAAGACACAATGCAATTTTCCTTCACCCTATATTTGTATACGGTTCATTTTTTTGTGGATTATTCCAGTGCTATATATTTCACTTTACCATAAGCTTACAGTGGTGGATGATCTGATAACTGTTTTACATGTGTGCACCGTTAACATGCTGCTGAGCAGGGCCGCCCCGCATACTACTGACACCTACTCCAGTGGTATTATGAAGTAATGAGTAGAGACAAGACAGCTAATTGTCTCTTTCTGCAAAAATCAATATATGCCTCCACAACACAGCAACTGCCTTTCACTCAAAACCCAACATCTAATTCACAATTTAATCTTTCAATCTTTGAGATTAAAATCAAATGACATGTTTTGGATTGTTTGCACAAGTTGATGTGCATACATAACCCATTTATTGGTTTTTTTCTTCTTTGCCATTTTGGAGTGTTATTTTTAAATTTACAACACTGAAATGAAAATGTTTATCTTCTTTGTCAATTGACGAGAGCACGCATACAAGCTTGTGATGGCAATTCATCTCGACACCTGTTATACTTTAATTTCCGTTTTAAGGGGATAAACTGTCTTCCATTTATTCGTATTTGTAATTAACCACGAAAGAGATTATTTTAATTGATGGAAATAAGTGCAAAACCGGAGTAAAATAAATTCTAGAAATCACACTTTGATGTTGTTTGTTTATCAGAATTTATCCTGAAGAATCACATTGTCGGCTGTGGTACCATTCAAAGTGGCATTAATTTTAAATTTAAGCTGAAATGAAAACAAGCCATTACAATGTGATAAGCTGAAGATACAGAGTTGTACCAAGAGTAGTGCTGTAGTACAACCTACAGATTCCCTGATGATGGTGTGTTGGACCTACAGATTCCCTGATGATGGTGTGTTGGACATACTGATATGTTTGGTAAGGTAACTGATTACACAGGCAAGTGTCACTATTTTTGATGGGAACCTTCCAATGTACTTGACACTTTCAATTTTATTCACTGGAACAACTTCAACCTTGACCTAATTTATTGGTTTTTACATTAAAGGCTGTAGTACATTTTACTTCTTGTGTTACACAATAGGCTGTAATATTTAGTTTTACCTGCATTTACCAACCCCTGTATAATCTAGAAACCTGCACAAAGTCAACAAAGCCTTAAACATGAAGGCCAAACAGTTCAAAACAGTATAAGGTTAAAGTTCCTAAGTATATAAAACCTAACTAGAACACTGATTGGTCAGCAAGGACCCCACTGTCTTACTGTAAATATCACCCA